TGGAGGGGCTGTGCCTCTCCTGGATGGTCCCTTTCATCCCATCCCAACCCCAGGAGCTGCGGCCCAAAGGACTGGACGTCAAGCAGGAGGAGCTGGGTGACCTGGTGGACAAGGAGATGGCAGCGACGGCAGCAGCCATCCTGCCCGCATCGAGGTGAGGGTCGCGGTATTCCCTGAGGCACCCATGGTCACCGTGCCTGCCGGGACCACCGGCCCGAGGCCAGGAGGGTGCGTGGGCCTCAGCACAGCCTCTCCCCACTCTACCACCAGGAGATGCTGAGCAAGGCACGGGCTGGTGACACTGGGGTCAAACTGGAAGTGAACGAGAGGTGAGCTGTGGTGGGGGTGCCGGAGGGAGGCGGGCAGGTGGGATGGGGCCCGGTGCCACAGGCAGGGCGGCTGCCCCATGAGTCTGGGGTCTCCCTGCCCCACAAGCGGGGCTCAGTGGGGTTTGTCTTGCAGGATCCTGGGCTCCTGCACAGGCCTCATGCAGGCCATCCACGTCCTGGTCCTGGCCTCCAAGGACCTCCAGAGAGAGATCGTGGAGAGCGGACGGGTGAGGAGGGGGCAGGGATGCAGGCAGGAGGGCGGGCAGGGCACGGGGCAGCAGGTGCTTGGCCAGCCGAGGGTCACCGTGCCCTTGCTGGGGACATGCTGCTCCAAGCCTTGGCCCGTTGGGGGCATCAATGGTAGCTGCCAGGAGCTCCTGCCCCAACCCCGTGGTCTCCCCCTGGCTGTGGTCCCTGGGGTGTCACCGAGGTCCCCAATCTCTCTTCCCACAGAGGGGAACCCACCAGGTTCCGTGTCTTCCCAGCTCCCACACACATCCTGAACAAAACCCTGACTTGCTCCGTTCCCCCGAGAGTTGGGGTTTGGGGGTCCCAGGCCCTGCCACCCGCCCTGTCCCCAACGTGTGACCGTGCCTTTCCCAATGGCAGGGCGCGGCGTCCCCCAAGGAGTTTTACGCCAAGAATTCCCGCTGGACCGAGGGTCTCATCTCCGCCTCCAAGGCCGTGGGCTGGGGTGCCACCGTCATGGTGTAAGTGCCACTGTCACCTGAGGAGAGGGAGGGATGGCAGGGTCCTGCTGTCCCCACGGGGAGGGGACGGGAGGGGTGGGGGAAGGATGCTCCAGCCCCTCTCTCTGCCCTCCCGCAGCGACGCTGCCGACCTGGTGGTGCAAGGCAAGGGGACGTTCGAGGAGCTGATGGTCTGTTCCCGGGAGATCGCGGCCAGCACTGCCCAGCTGGTGGCCGCCTCCAAGGTAGGAGCCCGGCGCCTCGGGAGCCTCCTCCGCTGCTGCCTCCATCGCCCCAGCAGCTCCCCCCACCGCTGCCTGCCCTTGGCTCTGGGAGATGCTCCGTCCCTGAGCAGGCAGCAGCGAGGCTGCTCCTGTGGCCGTGGTTTGGGGTGACCCTGGGGCACCGCGTGGTCACCCCAAATGATAGGGGTGGGCTTCTGCTCGCCGCGGCGGGGCGTGAGCAAACCCCTCCTCGCTGCCCCGGCAGGTGAAGGCTGACAAAGACAGCGCCAACCTTTGCAAGCTCCAACAAGCCTCCCGGGCTGTCAACCAGGCCACGGCTGGCGTGGTGGCCTCCACCAAGGCTGGGAGGTCACAGGTGGAGGAGAAAGGTAAGCGGGAGCATAGACCGGCCCCAAAACCTCTGCTTTTTGCACTTACCATCTTCGGTTGGCTGCGCCTCGGTGGTCTCTGCCTGCGGCTGCCCCCTCTGCGTATCCCGTGGTGGCAGACCCTACCAGCGACCCAGGAGCTGCCGGGGTGTCCAAGCTGGGGAGCAGATCTCGAGCGGGGCTGGGGGTGTCTTTCTCCACAGACAGCATGGACTTCTCCAGCATGACGCTCACCCAGATCAAGCGTCAGGAGATGGACTCGCAGGTAGGACGTTCTCTGATGTTTTGGGAGGAAACACACCCACTGGTGCCTCGCTTGAGCTAACGAGAGGCTACCCAGGCTGGGGGAGAGGTGGGTGGGGGGCACCCTGCCCGGCTGCCTGATCTCAGGTAGCACCAACTCGTGGGGAAGGCCCAAGGTGTGAAGGGAACAGGCGAGTTTGCCCAGGAGCCACGTGCAGTTGGTCCTCGAGCCTTCCCCGACACTGTCCCCATCATGGCACAATAGCCTGTGGCCTCCCCCTGCCCCCGTGTGCCCGTCAGGCTGCCCCACAGCACCCACTTCTGCCTGGCGTGGGGCAGCCAAGGAATTCCCCTTCCCAGGGTGCCCGCACCCAAGGTGTGAAGGGAACAGGCGAGTTTGCCCAGGAGCCACGTGCAGTTGGTCCTCGAGCCTTCCCCGACACTGTCCCCATCATGGCACAATAGCCTGTGGCCTCCCCCTGCCCCCGTGTGCCCGTCAGGCTGCCCCACAGCACCCACTTCTGCCTGGCGTGGGGCAGCCAAGGAATTCCCCTTCCCAGGGTGCCCGCACAGAGGTTGCTCTGCCTTCCCCTGCCTGCACAGGCAGCTCCCACCGGAGCTCAATCCCCACCCAGGACCGCTTGCCATTGGAGCGCTCCTGGGATGTACCTTGGCGGTCTCTGGGCTTAATATTGGGGAGATAACGGGTGTGAAAGGGAGGTGCCCAGCCTGCTGCAGCTCCGTGCCAGCGGGAGCACTCAGGTGCTGTGCCAGGGTGCAGGGTGGCCGTGACATGCACGATGTCCTTCAGGTGCGGGTGCTGGAGCTGGAAAACCAGCTGCAGAAGGAGCGGCAGAAGCTGGGGGAGCTGCGCAAGAAGCACTACGAGCTGGCAGGAGTGGCGGAGGGCTGGGAGGAGGATGGTGAGTGGATCTCAGTCCTGCTCCAGCCGGGAAGCTGCACTGGGAAGGAGCGGGGCAGGGTGGGGAAGCCCTGCCTGCAGTCCAGGCGGCGAGCAGGCATGGATTTCACTCTGGCTGGCACAGGCCAAGCCCGGGGATAAGTCAGCAAACGCGGGCAAAGCCACGGGACCCCTGACCTGCGCGAGAGCCTGTGGGACCCGCAGGGAGGGTGCTTGGGTGCTGCTGGGGCTCTGCCGCCCTGCG